AGCAATCAATGATAATTTAAAAATATCCTGAACACATTTCTTTTCCATGAAAGGGCAGAAAATGACGTAATCGTAAAAGTAAAGTGTACGTTAATTTCATCAAGTGCACTTCTCAGTCGCTAGCGGCTCCTTTACCTAATATTACTTTAACTTTGATGCCCATATTAGTTCCGGCTAATCCGAATTACGGGATTAGCTTTGAAGTAATTGCAATTTCCTAGTTTTCGCAGTTTACTCTAAAACCGGTTTCATGATCTCTCCTTTAAAGTTCGATATGACGACGGTCTATCCGGGAGGGTATCGTTGAATTAAAAAAAAAGTATTACTTTAATACTTATAAGTACATATAAAATACTGACGTTCGTTCCTTTCATTTATAATTTTCATGATACTTTACTCGACTAGCCTGCTGTAAAAACGACTTTAATGCATTAGGTATGAATTTACGGTTGAATTCATAGCAAAGGATCCAAGGAAATATGAAAAATGGTATTCAATAAGTTCATCATTTTCTCATGCTTCGTTTTTAGTCGCACAATTAATATGCCATCATATGTTCAATTAAACGTTGGTTATTCTTGAAGTATACTAACTTGTTTCGATTTCTAGATACAGGGTGTAAAACTGTTTTTTAAAGAAATCGGTTTTTTATCAATTATTCAAAGGATTATTTGTCGTCATAAGTGTCTTCCTTTGGTGGGAATAAAATAAATAACAGATTTTTTAAAAAACTTTTACACCCTGTATCTAAAAAACGAAGCAAGTTAGGACATACGGTTATAATCAACAAACTTTCTTATTTTTTGCTGGTAAATACGCCCTTTGCACCCAATTTTGAATCACCCTACATGTTTTTTTCGCCCCGTTGAAAGAAATACTATTAGAATGAAAATTGCAGAAAATTTAATGCTCTTTTAAAAACCACGTGGAAACTTCAAGTTATAACTTGTGTATTTGTTGCCGAAAAAACTGAGGCAACAATATTAAAATTAATTAATATGAGAGCCAGATTTTATGTTTTAAGAAGTTATTTTTGTTGCATAAAATTAGGCGCCGTTCAGAAGAGATTTTGTCATTTAAAAGTAGACATAGGGAAAAACCATACACGTTAATCCCTAAGTCTACTTCTTAATAAATAGCACTGTAAATTAAAAATTATATAGTTTTATGTCCTGAGTGCCATATTTTAATTAAACTAAATTAATTAATTAAATGGGTGTAAATAAATGACACTTTTGTTAGTTTAGATTTGAAAAATATACGTTAATTCCTTCGTAGGTGTATCTCACAATATCTTTGGAATTGTTCAGGTCTTACACGTACATTACTAACGTTTTGTATTTCATATTTGATTCACTTATACAGTCTTGCACTACTCCGACGTCTCGCTTCACTTATTAGATCGGAAAAACGTCAGTATGTGACGGAATTAAATTTATACCATACAGTAGAGACGTATATTGTTTCAATTGGTGATCGCTAGAGATGCGACATTTGAATTACAAATTAGGACCAGGCGAGCGTACACTAAAATTAATTTCAACTTATTACCAGACCATCATTTTGGTCGAGTAATTTTAATTGGCAAATAATAATCTGAAGGGAAACGAAGAAAACGATCGACGACACCCCACAGGACGTATTACGAAAACATTTACAAATGCGGACGAGGAAAGTGAAAGAAGCGAGAGAGGTGGTAAAATAATAAAACTTTCATTTGGAAAACAAGCGGCGGTAGCAAATGACTCTCGGTTTTAAATAAAAAGCTTATTGTTAATTGCGATGTGGGGGAGCAAATGAAAGAGTGAGTGGCTCTCGAGGTAGATACGTTGTACTAAAATGCGTAAAGAGGCTTAAAAAGCTTTGCAAATTACCCAAACAAATTTATATAAGCCACGCTAAATTACCTAAAGTGATACTAAACTACAAAAGTTGAAATGTGTCACTGTGAGGAACTTCGGTATAAAAAGCCATTATTCGTTAATGAAGAGCTGCACAATATGAAAGGCGTACCTACTTTAAAACATTCATCATTTCATCTGAAACAAAGCAGCACGTCACTGGGACATTTACAGCAAGCACCTGCAAATAAGAAAGAACAATGGCGACCTTTCATTATCGTTAGTTTTTGCATCACTAGATGCATTGAAATAATTTCCAGTCCAGTTTAGGACAGGAAAGAAGATAAATAGGGGTTTAAAACTCGTGATCGTCCTATTTGAAATTTAAGTTCTACTACAATAGTGAATTTTTGTAAAATTTTACTTAATTTCTTGAGGAAACCGATGGTTATTTCAATGCAAATCAAAAAGATTACGTTTCCTGAATTATTGCGTTTTCTGGAATCGATTGTTTCTCTATGGTACAAATCAGTACAGCTTTTCTCGAAGGGATGATGTCTTAAGGATGGACACTACAGAATGAAACTTGGATCTCCTGTTTTCTTGGATTTTTTTGTGCGATTACCTCTTCTCACGGGCATTGAACCATTTGGTTTTATCCTCTGAACCTTTCGCAATATAATTTGTTAATAGCTCACTGGAAGACCAAACCTTTTGTCTTGAAACTTTCGCTTTCCAAGCAGAATTTTTGAACGACTGAAGCTGTTACTCTAAACTGCTGATTTATTCCCAACTTCAGCGATAATCCTAATCCTTTTTGAACTTTTAGCCTTGCTTATGGAGATAAACCTTCGAGATATTTCCTCTATTAATTACGTGCAGTGTTGCCAAGCGGCGAACCAACTTCCTACACTTGTCCTACCCTGAAAGTGGACTGCTTGACCAAGACAAACAGGGGTGGTGATGGGCGGAAAAGTGCGCTAGTACTTTTCTACATTTTCGATAGTTCTAAATACTATCGCACGCTGGTTTTACCGAAAAAGTTTATCGATATTTCTTTCGGAATGGATTCAGGAAAGTCCGATTAATTTACCTTCCAACGAATAAATACAAAAGCTTCCGTACGTACACATTATCACAAAGGCGGTTTTTCCAGAAGATTTATTAAGGGTCCTCGATTTTGTTTAGAAACGTCCGATCGCCTTGAAAATTGGTACACACATAAGAAAGGTCGCTATTGTTTCTCAGCTACGTAAACTATCGGGCCAGAAAGCTACATCTCAAAAATGATCTCGAGGATCATTCGGTATTCAGTTCCATCGGGTTTTTTATAAATGCTTGTTGTCAATTTAGACGCCGCCGGTCTTTATATTGTTAATTTATAAGTATTTTTGTTAAGTTAGAATAAGTTCCATTTATTTTTTTTGTTTCAGAACTCTTAGAATTTTTTCCCTTTCAATCTTTCACACGCTCTGTGCGGTTTTACAAATTCCATATGTTTATGTCAATTTATAACTTCCGTGTTCTTTCTGTTTTCGCCTGTCACCCTAATTTTTAAGTTATTTAATACGTGACTAGGCAAAGGAGCCGCTTGCATGCGGTCCCTTGCGCTAATATTGCACCCCATATGGTTGCAATAAATGTTCTTAGTTTTAGGGTGTTAATTAGTCAATTTTTTAGTTTTCAAGCAGTCACATTTCGCCTACAATCGAAGTAGGTTGACTCAAAAGTTAGTAGTGCTCAATGTACATTAAAGGGTTGTTGTAAATAATTGTACATAAATTTGTGTCATGAAATAAATAGTACCTGTATAAGGTTCTGTGTAAATGAAGATTTACAACCTCGTTTACAACAAAAGGTTTAGCTCGCGAACCAGCTACCAGAGCTATCGTCTCTAAGTTCCTATCGGGAACTTTTTCAATTTATCCCAAACAATGCTTTACGTAGAATATTTGCATTCTGAATATTTGCACGGTTTTTTCGCATTAGTTGTGTTGTGTTAAATTAGATGTACAGCCATTTAATTACGGGTTCTTTTATTTCAGCTCCACCAAGGCTCAAACGCGAATTGAATGAAGGTGGTTTACTCGCTGACGGATTCACGCTTAATCCCCCCCCCCTCCCCCAAACTATTATGTCGAACCGCGCACATGACGCTCTGATGATCCAAAACCCAATGCCCTGCTGCTATTTCTCCTTGACGCGTCCCTATTATTTTTTAATTTTCTAACACGCCTACAAAATGGTGCTAATAATCCTTAATCGTTAACAATTCGACTACGTTTCCTTGACCCAATCGCGTGTGTATGAATGCCATGTGTTAAACCCCCCGATTTCAAGATGGCTTAGTTCGGGCTCGCGAGGCTCCAAGGACATCACCATGAGTAATTCTGATTTTGCTGTTTTGGTCACGTAAAAACAAGCAACACATTTGAGCTGCCTTGTATATTTCGGTCTCCTATACCGGCAGGATGGGATGCACCCCCCGGAACAGGACAGCGAGAAAATGGTGTTCAGTCTGAAGTGTACTATTCCATCGGATTAGTTTCCAGTGTAAATCAAAACTTGAAAAAAATATTTGTAGGTGGAATTTCAAAGTATCTAATTTGACTTTCATACCATACATTCCTAATTTGAATACCTACCAGAAACAGCCGAAAGTAGCAGCATTGACCCGTTACAAATACATGATACAAGTAGGTAGGTATAGACATTCCACAGACATTGCAAGAATCTTACAACATTTCTGGTTCAACGCCATCTCCTCTGTCACAGTTAATCTCCTTTGAAAGGAACCAAAATAGCAATACTCGCTACCGAACTCGGAATTTTAATTAAGTTTACAAATGTATGCATTTAGCAACAGTATTTAATTAAAATAGAAATACGGAGTATGTTGGTCGGTTAAATCTAAAAATTTAAAAAAGGAACACCGTGCCAAAGCAGTTGAAATACTTTTCAAATGCAGTCATAATTTAAAATGCAATATTCGAGGCTGAAAAGTGACATGTAAAAAAGGGCTTTCCATAAAATTTGTAGTAGTGAAAATGGTTTTGCATGCACCGTCGCCGCGACGACGGAGACACGAATCCTGAAAATTACCTATCAAAAAAGCGTCTACCTAGATACGAACGAAACGCTAGCTGGTAATACACGTACCTCAGATTTTCCTTTGGAAACGCAGTTCGCCACATGACTCGGTTCCAAGATTAAAGCGTCTCTCTGCAACAAAATTGATTTCATTAACATAAAAAATTGCAATTTGACATAGCTACATTAACGGACATCAATATTCATACGCGGTGCATGCGATAAATTAATAATGCGATCGTGCCGCAGGTGTCAAAGACAAACTATTGTATGTGCATAACCTGAAAATACGTGACTCCCGGGTATTTTGGGTTTTATATTGTTTGCCTAACGAATCGACCAGCAAAACCGAGCGAATTTACCGCTATAAATCGCTAATTATTATTTCTATTTTATCGAATTCATTAACCGATTGTACTGTAAGTTGATTAGTGCAAATTGCGAGGTAATGAGTTAAAGAAAAAGACAAATTTTGAAGAGGGACGTTCGAAGCCACCGTTAATTACGTTCCACTCCTTCAGCTCCAAATGTTGCCACTTTAAAATTTTAAATTAGCGCGCCCGCAAACTTTTAATTCTCCGGTGTCTTTACCGAACACATTCCACGTCATTTTTAAGTAAATTATTGCGCCTTTTTAACGCTCGAATTTGAAACGGCAGCTTCAATATTAGCTTTACCAAAAGTAATTGATATTCTACCAAGCTATCCTAATTAACATTTGCATATAAGGTCAAAATACGAGTATGAAGATATTAAGTCAACTTAATCTTCTTGCTCTATGGTGTAATCAGACAAAAATTGACAAGCTTTCTTGACAAAAAGTTGAAGTAGGATCAAAAAGTTTCCTTTGCAAAAGAATGAGGAAATAGCGCCAGATATTCCAAAGCCGTTCCAATAACAACTTTAAGCCAATAAAAGAAACACTTTCGGGGCCGCCATTTTGATTCGGATGATTGCTTAACAACTGCTTTTTTTGTAGACAAGGAAGAAGTGTTCTTTTTCCAACGGTATTACTTCGTTGAATGAGAAATTTAGAGTGCACAGATCTTAGGGGAGACTACATTGAAAAATAATCGCATGCTGAGGTAGATGTCCCTCGTACAACGCGCGACGAGACAAACTGGCAGATAATAAAATTAATAATTTTGCAAGTTTTGAGAGTGGTTTATGATCAAATTCAGGGCAAGTATGAAGAGAGTTTGGGAAGGATTTGAGAAACAAATATAAAATTGTACACAATTCTTATGCAGATTAAGCGAAATACCTTAGTAAATGGTTGGGTTCTAGGGGGAAATAAGTATACCAAAAAGTCAAATTCTAGAGGGAAACAACCTCTGAATTAATTTCAATTAACGTGAATTAATTAATATTAATTTACCACTTACTTACGACAAAAGATAAGTATTTCCATACAACGTGGCAACGCGGCCAGTGTAATGGGGACGCTTCCAACTACGATCCCCCCATGGAAAAAATTTATTATTTATTATGAATTTTTAATGTTTAATTTGTTTAAATCAAATTCAATTAACTGCAAAAAAAATTAACGTGAATTAATTTAAATTAACCTGAATTAACGTGAATTAATTTGTATTAAGGTTAATTAACTTGAATTAACAGGAATTTACGTGAATTATTTTTTAATTTTTTATTTAGTTTAGGGCTTCTTGTTTACATATTTAAATAATTGGTGGCGCGGCCATTATAGGAATAATGGGGCGTTTGGAGGGTTTTCGCGATTATTTTTGCTAATTGCATTTCTAGAGCTTAGACCATATACAGTAATGTATCTTTACCCAAAATGGTCATGAAACCTTCATTTTCATGCCTACTTTATGTCAGGAAATTTTATTTTCCCTGACCGGACTACTTTTCCCGCCGCACCTGTCACATTGCTAAATGTCAATAATGAGTCTGGTCATCACCGACAGATTGACATTATTCAAAAGTATATATTAAAATAAAAAATTGCATTTAATATTTAAATATTATTTAATATTATTATATTATATATAATATAATATTTAATCACACAATGAAGCTGTTACTCTAAACTGCTGATTTATTCACAACTTCAGTGATAATCCTAATCATTTTTGAACTTTTAGAAAAGTTACATCCCAAAAACGATCTCAAGAATCATTCGGTATTCAGTTCTATGGGATTTTTTATAAATGCTTTACGTACAATATCTCCATACTGAAAATTTTCACGGTATTTTTCACATTAGTTAATTTTACTCGCTAACGGATTCACGTTTAAAGTTTAATTTGTTTAAATCAAATTCAATTAACTGCAAAAAAATTAACATGAATTATCTTAATTTATCCTGAATTAACGTGAATTAATTTGTATTAAGGTTAATTAACGTGAATTAACAGGAGTTTACGTGAATTATTTTGAAATGACGTGAATTAATTTGAATTTGAACACCAAAAATGGTACTTGTTTCCCCTTGGTTCAAATTAATTCACAAGCCCGCATTTAACCTACACTGTACCTCTCACCGTTGCAGAGATTCCAATGATAAGCTACGAATTTGAACCACCCTGTACGTATGCACGTTGGCAATTTTCCGAGCAACGGCCCGACGGATTTTGTTCAAATTTTGGATATCCACTATGGGAACCCAAACGTAACGGGATTTAACCTGCGGTGTGAAGGAAAAGTGCAGGAATTCATTGTTCGACTAGGTAATGTTTAAGACTGCTTATGGAGATGCTGTTCTAGGTCCAGAACTGGTTTTCACCTATACTTTTTATTGCATGTTCTTATTCTACATCGAAAAATAATACACTTTCATGGGAAACGTGCTTTTCCCTACTATTAACATTTTTTGAAGACACTCTTCCAAAAGCACGATTTTTGGTTTGAGCTAGGAAACTGCTTTGTCCAGAATTTGGCACATTTTTTTTGGAAGTATGGGATTGTGATATGTCCTTTGAAAGATCTTTTCATTCTCTATCCAAATATGTTATTGTTTTCAAATGTATCAAACAAATTAACATAAAGAAGACAGGACTACTTTTCCCGCCGCCTGTCACTTTACCGGCCGCAGCTGTCACATTGCTAAATGCCTGAGATTGACATTATTCAAAAGTTCTATATGGACATTGAAATTTTGTATTAAAATAAAAAATAAAACTGGGTTATATCTCCTGAGTCATTTAACTCAAATTTGGAATATAAGTTATGCTGGAAGGCTTAGATGATTGGCTACCTAACTGAAAGTAAAATTTTGAAAATCGTCCAATAGAGCTTATTTAGATAATTTCTTGTTTTATTAGCTTTGACAGTTCGAAGTTGAAATTGTAGATTTCTTGTGTTTGCATATGCTTATAAAACGTTTTGCGGACCTAAGTTTTATATGAGCTATAAGTCACAAATAAATCCAAGAATTAGCCCCTTTCGTATGTCCATCATTTAGGAACACCCTGTATATATGTTTTTAAAAAGGCATGGCTGGTAATTTTTAATATTCTCAAAGAAATCGTCCTTTTGTGTTTTAAAAGGGACCTACATTGCATATGCTTATAAAACGTTTTGCGGACCTATGTTTATATGAGTTTTTAGTCATAAATAAGTCCAAGAATTAGCTCCTTTCGTATGTCCATCATATTTAGGAATACTCTGTATATATGTTTTTGAATAGACATGGCTGGTAATTTTTAATATTCTCAAAGAAGTCGTCCTTTTGTGTTTTAAAAGGGACCTACATTGCATATGCATATGCTTATAAAACGTTTTGCGGACCTATGTTTATATGTGCTTTTAGTCATAAATAAGTCCAAGAATTAGCTCCTTTCCTATGTCCATCATATTTAGGAACACTCTGTATATATGTTTTTAAAAAGACATGGCTGGTAATTTTTAATATTCTCAAAGATATTGTCCTTTTGTGTTTTAAAAGGGACCTACATTGTACTATACTTTATATAAGCCGGAAAGACAAAATCTCACACCGATCTGCGAGTATGATTCTTTACTTTTTGATCTTATTATACAAAATTTTTTTTTCTCACATTGTATGAGTGGCTATCGGAATTTAATGAAAATAACTTTTGGTTTTTGAATACTAAACATAAATATTCTAATACATATAATGCATACAGTTAGAATTTGAATTTTTTTTAAAATAACGCTTACAGGATTTCTGTCTCTGTAGCGAAAACATTACCCTAATGCTCTTTTTTGCATTTTAAAAATGCTAGAAATGTGATGATTAGTGGTTCACCTTACTTTCGAATATATGTAGAATGGCGGATTTGGAAAAGGGTTGATGGGCACAAAAATGTATGTACAGCGAGATTGCTGAATGCAATTTTGGTCAATATGATCTTTACAGTTAGTTTCTGTATCTATAATAACTCCTAAGAACGTTCAACAATGGCATATCTCCAAGTGAAGTGACTGGTAATTCAGTGGAAAGTTATTGGAACGCCCTATTTTGTTTTTTTTTCCAAATTCATTCAATGTTTATTTGCATTAAACCAATTAGTAAGGGTTGATAACGAACCTTTTAAATTAAATTCTAACTCCTCCTCATTATAAACCACACTAACACTGGTGTCATCTGCATGTGTGGTGATATTGTATGAAAATGAGTCAAAAGAGAACAGTTAAATAAATCATTAATAAATATTATGAATAATATAGAGCCAAGGATAGATCCTTGAGGTACTCCATACTTCATTTGTTCTACTTACACAATAATCTGATGCGAAGAAGAAATTTTTTTAACCACAACGATATTGCCACTGCCACACCTCCAATACCATATGTCAGAGGAGCAAATCTTGTCCTCCAACAAGTCATGATGGAAATTACCAGATCTGAGATAAAAACCTTTTAACAAACCACAGCTTATGGACGAGCGGGCGCAGTATGCGATTGTCACTCGCGTAATACGCGCAGCCAAGTCGAGTCGGGATGAATGAGATAAGAAAGCGAATTAACCGGTCGTTGGTCCTTAGCAGGACATTGCATATGTGAATTTATATTATTTTCGCACTTGTACAATTTACGTGTTAAGTATTACAAAATTTATGTTGATGTCATATACAGTGATATTTATTAAGAAGTAGACATGTGTATTGTTTTTCCCTATGTCTATTTTTAAATCTTATTTATCT